TTGATGTGTTTTAATGCTTCTGCCATTTTTGTTTCACCTCTTCCACATCAGCAAAAAGTTTCCCTTTGAGGACTTTTTTCATACAGGAAAAAAACAAAAAAGTCACTTGGGGCAAGATCAGGTGAATAGCGGGTGGGGTGTAGGGATCATGCTGTTTTTTGTCAAAAACTGCCAAACACTCTGCATGGTGTGAGTAGGTGTGCTCATAAATCACCCATCATGAAATGGACAAACACATTGAAAGAGTCTTCAAAAAAAGAATTCACTGAAGCTCTCTCCCAACACCAGCCGGTACACTGACACAGATAGGTTCCTAGAACACTCACCTAGCTGAGGAAGTCTGTACTACAAGAGACCTGCCCTCCAGAAGATAATTACATCCGCTTTGGTCCCCCTCATGCACTATTGCCAAGCCCTTTTTATTATACTTGTACTAGGGGATATTTTTTGATGCACTTTAAATCTTATATTACCCTTTTCTTTTCCTTAAACTTCTCTCCTTTACTCACATATTATTATATTCTTTAAGGTCCCTCAGCCTTATCAACAATGACTTTAAGAATTACCTGCTTCAGCTGGAAATTAAGCCTCTTAGAAATATTCTCCAAATACATCTGAGAGTCCACCAACATGGCATCAATTACACATGTGCTCACACACCAGTCTGTTGGTTGAAGTCACTGCCTAATATCCTTCATGTTTTTCTTCTTCTTTTCCAGTTGTCTTTAGTCATGGACACTGTCTGTGAAGCTACTTAAGGGAGACTGAGTATTGTCAAGGGTTCGATGCCCATCAGGAAGATGCAAATGTCCATACCCAAATTATTCTGTCTCTAGATGCTTTTAGTCGATCAGTGCTCTGGTGCCTGAGTGGTGGTATGTTTCATGCAGAGACAATGGCCTCTACATTATCTCTGTCCCCCTCAAAAAGTGTTGCTTGTCTAATAAATTCTCTCAGTAATAATTCAATGGATTTTGCTTTTCAAACTTTTCCTAGACTCTGACAAAATGGTTTGGGTTGGGGCCCTTAGATCTATAACTATAGAATGGTACAGATGCCATGTTAGGCCCTCTATTCTCCTATTCTTAGCCTGTCCCCAAACCAAACCCTCTCTTATTTGGAAAGCAAAAACCTCAACATAGACAATGGAGGAATGTCCACATGCCTGCCACAATTGTTCCCAACTGAGCTAGCCTAAAACACATACTGCCCACTACTCTTAGGATAGCATTCTTCGTGTGAGTCTGCATGTGTGTGTGCGTACATGACAGGCTGTTCTGATTCTATCTTCTTTTATGGTTCCTCATTATCACCACACTAATCTATCCACACACTAAGCCAACACATTTCAGATACACTCTCTTTTCCCACTTGTGCTTGTTTGTCTGATGGAAGGATGAAAAAGGATATTTTTGAAAGCCAGAAGGAATTCCTGAATTTCAGTTCTGACACTATCCCATTGACTTCTGAATAATATAGAATCCCAAGGTTTGAAGGGATTCTAAAAGTTCCTCTATCTCTATATTTTTTTTCCCAATGTGTGGTCATCCAGTATAGATTTTTGTATTTTAGCCAAGAATAATGCATTTTTGAAATTTCTTATTTCCTTTGGGAGGGTTTGCCTCACCATTTCTTCTAACAGCAAGGTAAAATTTTTTTGCTATAGATTTCTTCCAATACTTTTAAATCTATCGCCTTGAATCCAGACAGAAAAATTTTATTCCCTATGATTTATAATCTCTTCAGTCATTTGGAAATAGCTATCAGATCACTTTGTATCTTCTTATTCCTATATTAAATGTCCCCAGTTTGTTGTTACTCCTTACAATACAGTTTGGAGTTACTTTAAGATCCAATGCTCTCAGGTGAATGTGTCCCAGTTTGTCTTTTAACATATGTCCCTAACTCTCTAACATATGATGCTCAGTATTATTCAGCAATAAAAATATGAAGTATTAATATATGTTACAACATGGATGAACCTTGCAAACATTATGCTAAGTGAAAGAAGTCAGTCACAAAGGAGGACATTCTACATATTTCCTTTTATATCTACTATCCAGAATGGGCAAATCTGCACAAAGTAGATTAGTGGTTGAGGGGGTGGAAAGATTGGGAAATAATGGCTATGAGGTATGGGTTTTTTTTGAGGTGATGGTTGGTATGGCTTTCTTTTGAGATGATGAAAATGTCCTAGAATTGATTGTTGTGATGGTTGCACAACTTGGTAAATACACTAAAAGTCATTTGAATTGTACACTTTAAATGAATAAATTATATGGTATGTGAATTATGTCTCAATATAGTTGCTTAAAAAATATGATGTCCAGAAGTGAATTACCAGTAAACAGTAATCTGAAAGTAGATTGCTTTAACCTCTGGATTTCAATTTCACTATCTGTAAAATAGATGAGTGAACAATATCTGCTCCACCTGGTTGTTGAATCACATTTTACAACATCATAATTATGTAAATTATTAATTTGAGTGACTCTTACCACCTCATATCTGGGTTGCTATCACAATTCACTTGCTGGAAACTCATTTGTTTTGTTGGGGAAGGGATTTAAAAACAAACAAACAAACAAACAAAAAACACCTATTACTCTACCCAAGAGAATGCAAAGATCATGTAGTACCCATTGTATAAAGGCCCAACATTGTCCTATGTTTTCTATCATTCTTTATAGACAGACTACATTTCAATAGCCAAACAATTGCTTTCTTCAACATGTTCTTTGCATACTAACCCTTGTATCTGCTTTTCTCCCCTCTCAGACAAAATATACCTTGCTATGGACTGAATGTTTGTGTCCCCCATCAAATTCCTATGTCAAAGCCCTAACCCTAACATGATGATATTTGGAGGTGGTGACTTTGGGAGGTAATTAGGTTTGGATGAGGTCATGAAGGTGCGTCCCCCATCATGAAATTCGTGTCCTTATAATAAAAGGAGGAGAGACCAGACAGAGCTCTTCTTCTCCACATGTAAAGACACAGCAAGAAGATGGCCATCTGCAAACCAGGTGGAGAGTGTTCACTATTCAGGTGGGAACTGAATAGACCAGTACTTTCACATAGGAGGTCCCCGCCCCCAGAACTGTGAGGAATAAATTCCAGTTGGTTAAGCCAGCCAGTCTATGGTATTTTGTTATGGCAGTGCGAGCTGACCAACACATACCCCTTGAAACTCCCCACCAATCCCCTTTCTTTTTGTCATGACTTTCTTCAAAAGTTTTGTTGAAACTTTCTTCTGTTGGAATTTCCCACCATACTGAGACTGATTCCTCCATTACTCTGCATCCTCTCAGAAGTTTAGCTTCATATAAAGTTAATTTTTATTTCTTATTTATCCATGTATTTTACTTTCACTCACCTGCTTAACAAGCTTTTCAAATGAAAGAAGGATAGTGTGTTATATCTCCTTTCCTCTAAAACTCATGTTTTGTAGACATTTCCATCAGTACTCAGTCATGATTGCTTACTTTCTCTTTTCCTTCAATTGTTGGTCTCACCCTCTATATAGCCTGAAGCTCATAGGAGAAACTCCCAAAAACATATCCAAAAGGGTTAATACACAAACACTATGTTGCAAATTCACTCTATCACTTTTAATTTAGAACTTTTGATGAGTACCAACATTTAGAGTCCCAAGAAATACAAAGAGTAGAAGGTGACTGTATTTTTCCAAGCTTGCTCCTTTCCAGTGTTATAATACAAAGGGGCACAGGTGTGGTTTAGTGACCCCCTGCCTGTAGCATCAACTCAACCTTAACTTCATGGAAAAACTCAAACCCAATTTCTATCGTTTTTAGAAAATAAGCCATCCAGATGTAAAGAGCAATTTCTTGATTTTTAATACATCAAATAAAGTGTACTTCTTTCCTACCAGCCCCATCTTCTACAATCATTTGCTGAGATGACTGTAGGGGAAAGGTGTAGTGCAACTGACAGGCAGAGATCAGATCTCCCACTTTGGCTTATTCCTTTGCTAATGGGGTGAAATGCCTCTGCAGGCCGGGAACTCATGCCCCCAGATCACTTAGGGCTAGAAGGATGGAGGATAGTGTGGTCGACTCCATCTCATTTTATGGGCATGGAAGCCAAGGCCTGCAAAAAGTAATGACACGCTCAGTGGCTTATGATTTACCAACATGGTCATAAATATCGGATCAAAACTTGGTTTGGAAGCTTACATGCTGCCCCAGAGGACAGTTATGGTGTGGAGTACATTTGTTTTTGTGACTGTTTCATTCCTCGTGTTAATTTAAAATACATTCTTTGATTGTCTCACATTTTCTGAGGTTATGAGAAAAATACCTCAAAATGTTATCTAATTATGAAAAGAAATGTGAGGATGGAAAGTGGGTAGGGTACAAGGAAGGAAAGAAAAACGGAAGGAAAGAAGGAAGTAAGGAAGGTAGGTATTTGACCCTCTATCTCCCTCTCCAGACTTTTCTGTTTCCCGCTATCCCTATCTTTGCTTTCCACACGGCTCCACTGCCTTCTGGGCTCCCTATTTCCCACAGTCCTAAAGGCCAGTGGACAGGGGGGTCTACATTTCGAAAACCTTTGTGTGGCTGCCGGAGCTGGGCATGCTCAAACGCCCGGCACTGGCTCTGAATTTCGGCTCCGAACTTTGGCAACTCTCCCACCCGCACCCCGAAGGGGCAGGCAGGTCCACACAGATCCCGGGGTGTGAGTAAACGGTAGGAAATTATCCTACCCTCGCGGAGGGAGCCAGGAAAGGGAGCTCGCTGGGCAGTTCGGTAGTCGGGAGGCGATGCCAAAGGGGCGCACAGGGGTGACGAGCCCTCCAGGGTGTCTCGGGTCGTCGCGGGCTGCGTGGATCCGGGGTCGGCGGCAGCGCGGGCGTGCGCGCCCGGCCGAGGGGGAGATGTCCGAGGGCACGAGCGCGGGAGCGCGCTCTGGGAGTGGTCCCGCGGCGGAGGGAGGGGCAGGCAGAGGCGGGGCCGCGGCGGCGCGCGGACGCCGAGCTTCGCCGGAATTCTTGAGGCTGCCGAGCGGCCACGGGTGGGAGGGCGGCCGTCGCTGTACGCAGAGCCTCAAAACCTAGGACTTCTGGGAGCTCAGGAACCCCAGGAGCGGAGCTCAGCCGTGGGGAAGAAACGCGAGGTGCTGCTTGCTCTTTCGCTTTCCTCGCTCCGTTTAGTAAGTGGGTGGGGGTGGTGTGGCCGGCGTCGCGAGGCATTCGGAAGCCCGCGTCTGGGGAGAAAATTCACCTGTTTCGAGACAGCGCGTCGGACTTGGAGGGAGCGGCGGTAAGCTCTCGCTCCTGGCACAATGGGCTGTACGCTGAGCGCCGAGGACAAGGCGGCGGTGGAGCGGAGTAAGATGATAGACCGGAACCTCCGCGAGGATGGCGAGAAGGCGGCGCGGGAGGTCAAACTGCTGCTGCTTGGTGAGGGGCCGGGCTGGACGCTGGGGCGGGCGGGGGCTCCCCGGGAGCCTGGGGTCGGGCCCCTGTGCTGGCCGCCGTGGTCGCATCGGGCCCCTTGGCTTTGGGAAACCCGAAGGGGACTTGCAGAGCGGCCGAGGGCACGCCTTGAAGCGCCCCGGATGGTTTCAGAGCCAGAGCTTGTCTGGTGCCGTGCAGAGACAGGGAGGGTGCCCCCTCTCCCTGGTCCTCCCCCTCCCTCCTCCTGGCGAGTGAGAACTCTCCGGCGATGGGGCGGGAGCTGCACTCGCGTGCCTAGGTGTGGACCCCGTGGGGAGTCGAGGAGTGAGTGGATCACGAGTAGCCCCTTTTCTTTGAAGTTAGCTCAGCTTTACAAAGATGAAAGGGAATTCGGTGACAAGAAAATAAAAACCCACCCCACCTCGAAACCCTTCCTACAAGGTGTCTGTCGCGGTTGTGGTTTTCAAGTTCCAAGAGTGTCACGTTTTGTGAGATTTGTGCACCATTTTGGGGGCCTCCGGGGAATTGGGATGTGTCTTTCCTGGAAACTTCCTTTGACGACTCAATAAGTTTTAAAGGAGCACGTATTATATTTACCTGATTATATTTTCTTGAAGAAGTAGGCTACACTGGGCGCATGATTTTAATTGCTGTGGGGACATGGACACCTCCAAAGTTGGGTGTAACATTTGCTCCAGGAAGATGCTTGAGCGGTGAAAACCAGTGTGAAGGTACGAAAGGGTCTCGCTGGGCAACTGGATTCTCACCTCTTTGCCAGTGTTTCTGTTGAATGATATTTGCCAGGTACAACGCCAAGGCTCTTATTTGTTCTTAGTATTGTTCTCTTGAAACGCTGTGTGGAGGTGTTTTCCGGTTGTTTCAAGGGAGATGACAAAAAAGAGTAAGCTAGGGTTTGACGGAGGGATACGTTAGGAAAATATTCACAGCAGAAGATCTGTAGATGTCTGAGTGAGGGTTTTCTTTTGTTTGCTTGTCCCCCCCCCCCCGCACAAACACACCCAGTAGGTATCCAGTAGGTACTAAAGTAGATGAAAGATTTCTCAGAATCATTTGCATTCCCAGAGATTGCTTTTATTTTTATAAGCGATAATAAAAAAAATAGTGCACAAGCCTGTTTTCAGAAAGCTTCTATTTCATTGGTTTGATGACTGCAGGAAAAATGGTGGGGTTTTTTTTTTCTCCATTACTTGTAGTCTTGGAAGCAGCAAACTTGGCATGACTAAAAGTAATAATGATCTGAGTCATTTAGCAAGCAAGCTGTGAAATAACTTTGCATTTTGAAGACCTGGGTGTCAGTCTTTACCCTCGCCCCCAACATAAATCTTTTCAGTTAATACTGTTTACCAAAGTTTTTACATTAATGAGAAATAGTATATTTTTCCAAGGTCAGTGTATTTTTAGTGCATTGAGCAAAGAAAAGAAACACCTTGATTGGAAACAAGTAGGTGCTCCTTTTCTGAATTGAATGTGCATGAGTCAAAAATGAAACAGAAGGATTAAAAAGTTCTTTTTCTGCTTTTGTGCACTGTGGCTCTGATAATGTTGTTTCAGTGTATTTGTAGTGTGACTCCTAGTTTGAGCCAGCCATCCACCATGTTTAAAGCAGTTGAAAAATGAGTCCTCTGGTGTGGTTTTATGCTTTAATCAGATGTCTGTTAGAGACAGATGACTAAAATAAAGGTCCAGGGAGTTGGTTTTTGCTTGCACTCAGAAGAAATCAGTGTTTCTTAACCTTAGCACTATGGTCATTTTGTGCAGGATAATTCTTTGTTTTGCATTTGTCTTGTGCTTTGTAGTTGATTTAGCAGCATCTTTGGCCTCCACCCCATTAGATGCCAACATCAGCCCCTTCAATTTGTGATCCTCGACAATGTCTTCAGACGTCCCCAGAATGTACCCTGTGGGCAAAAATTAACTGCCGGCAGGGAACCACTGTTCTAGATTAACAAATATAGTTGAATGTGTAAAGTGAAACAAAAAGTTGCATCTCTACAGCCATCTATAGCAGAATCATGATTTTTAGAAGAAATTATGGAGTTTTCGCTTCTCCATGTTAGTAATGTTAAAATGACTTTTAAAAATCTTTAGTAACTGAATTCCTTCAGCTGTCTTTTCTAGTTTTAATCTTTTGCTTTTCCCTACATCTCTTCTTTCTGTAGAAAGTGTCTTGTTGGCCCAGCACTCCTTCCTCCTCCCCTCCCTCCCTCACTTGGTCCCTCCCTTATCTTACTCCCACTCTACCTTTTTTTGCCCAGAATTCCAGCACCCTGGCTTCTAGCAACAGAATTATGGCTTACTTCTTTTATAAATCTTAATTCTTGGGATGTTTGAAAACATCGTTTCCCCCTATTTTGGCTTTAGCAATGAAGTGTTGACCTTTGGTTCTTTTATGGGTGATTAAAGGATATAAGCAGCTCAGTGAAATCATTCCCTATAAAGCACAGCAACTGAATCAACTAGAAATATAAAATGGTTTCTAGGTATTTTATATTTAGAAATATAAAATGGTTTCTAAATAATCAGTGTCAATTACATTTAAGGTCTTTTTTCTTTTCAGCTATTTTGTTTTTCTCATCAAATGATTTTTTAAAAATTTGAGGCAGAAAACCCCCAAAGTACACTTAAAACAGTGTACTAAATGGTTCATTATATTGAATATTTTCTTAAGACATGTATTATGTTTTTAGATATCTGGGTTGAGAGATTCAGGTATGAGATACACAATATTAGGAAGAAGATTTTGGTACTGTTTATTATAATATAAAAATAAATCAGAAGTATTTCACTGTTCTTATTAGGAGCAATGAATTAGGCCTTCAAAAAGAGAGGACCCAGTCTAATCATTGACCTAAAGAAATTAGGTCAGGGTTTGGCTGTTTCAAATTTTCAGGTTTAGTTTTCAGACTTTAGTATTAGAATAACACTCCTAAATAGACAAACTTATTTTAATAAGGACAGTTTTATTTCCATTGTATATAGATAATTTTCTCAGGGAAAATTTTTTTAAAAAATGACTTTGAGGATGTTCACCGTTTATCATGCTTCTTATGGGCAGTATCATTAGGCCTAGACTGTTATTTCAGTGAGGCTATATTGTACATATGGATACTTATTAAATAATTTTTAAAGATACAAGGGATTGAATTATATGAGTAAAGTTATCATGAATTAATTTTTCTTAAGTCATTTCACTTTAAAGCTTTGAGTTTTTATTCTCTTTCACTGTACCACTCATACAACATGCCCCCCCCAAACAAACAAAAACATCCCAATAAAAATTCACACCCATATCTCCTTTTTTAGCTTGGCTTAAAGATTATAGATGGAGTGAAAGTATGAGGGATCAGATTTCTCCTGCTTGCTGAATAATTTTCAGTTGCTACCATCAACCAGCTGTTTGAGAAGCTACATCATTAATCCTTTTTGCTACCTTTAAACTTGCCCTATGACTTCCTTAGTTGAGAAATTCTGGTATTGCAGAACTTTGGATTTGGCATTACTTTAGCTATTTCTTTAAAATTGGCGTGGAGCTCAGATGTCAGAAAGCTTGTTTCCTTGAATAAATGGACCTGGTATTTCAACATGGGTTGTGTGCTTCTTGCTCACTTACCTGCCTTGTGTTAGCAAATAGCAATTACTTTGACAGAAGCTACAGGTGGTTTTAAAGTATGTTTTCAAAGAGTTGATTTTTCTGTAGGCTTTCCTGCTTCTGGTCTTTTCTTATAGCTCTTTTTCCTATCAGAGTTACCATGCAAATTCCTTCCTCAGAAATCTTTATTGACTTCTGTGTTGCCTGTGGAATAAAAACTTTCTTCTAGATCTGGCTTCCCTCTGTTATTGTACTGTTTTCCTCAGGGCACTCTTCCTTTCCAAGCAGGAATGGTTGGCATATGATAAAGCATATTTTCACTCTGGTTTCTAGTGTTGGTTAGTCTCTTGCTCTGCCATTTACCCCACTAGTGTGAGCACTGTAGGGGCATAATCTTAGTAATAAGTCATCCTGTATTCCTAACAATCCATTTACTTTGTCATATGCATAATTATTTCTTAATTGTTTAAAGTTCATATCTTGTGCGGGGTTAGGATTTACCTAGAATATAAACTTTATACTTTTCCATTTTCAGTGTCCATGGGAATAAAAAAATTACCCTGACAATGTAAACAGAAAACTAGAAGTAATTATTTATGATGGCCAAAATAAACACATGGTATCTAAAATCAAATTGTTTGGTTTAAGAATTTTTATCCATATTTTTAAGACCTTTAACAGTCATTACATTATTTAATAAGTTAGATAAATTAAAGAAAATGACAATGGATTTTTTTTTTTGGAGGAGGTTTTACTTTGTTGCGGTTGGAGTGTTATTCCTTAAAAACCTTTTTTTTTTGTTATGATAAATCTCATTTTCTAATTTTTTTGGCTTCTTTTAAACATAAATAAAAAGCATGAGTCTAATTGAATTTATCAGTGATAGGAAATATAATGCCTGTGTCATAGATACTAGTGAAGATATTAGGAAATGTAATGCTTATTTTATAGTATTTGGTGGGAGATAATATTTAAACCTGAAAAAGATAGCTATAATTTTTTAAAGAAAAATTGAATATCCAATCACAATCTTGATTTTTATTTTGTTATACATCTCTCTGCTTTGGAAAATTCAAGATACCACAGATTCACATAGGAGGACCTGAATGTATTTGCCACATTTCTAGAGCACGTATTTCTTGATCACATGTTCTGGAATGCAGTTACCCAACCAATGTGTGACTTCCCAGAGTGTGACGCTGGTGAAACTCAGATCCCAGATGGCATTTGAGCTGTATGAAATAGGTGAATTGTACCTAATCTTGTAGTGCTTAGGCTGCTTTCTGTCATAACATGTTAAATACTAATTAAAAACCTTAACAGAAAAAGGGCAAAATAATTTTAAAAAATGAATGTTCATTACTATAAATTTAGGGGCTTAAAATTTATTAAT